ATTTGTTACTTTACACCACTGCTGGTAAGCGCTTAAATCTTCTGTTTAGAATTGTCATCACAGGAACAGCATTCCTCAACTGGTAATTCTCAATCCAAAGTAGTTGTCAATTCTGTTTTAGAGTAGGTTATAGAGTCTTTTTGTGATGCACAACTTGAAACATGTTTTAAAGACGTTATATTTCTGTGAGATGTGGTTTAAGTGCAAGAAAAAAAAAAAAAAAAACACTCAATTAATTTGGGTTGTGTTTCCCAAACAAGACATAGCCTGTTGCTTAACTATTATAGCATGATGCATCATTTGGGAAAAAAAAAAACAATATAGTGACTAGTGTTTTCTAAAATTTTTGTTTCTTTTAATTTGAACCACGTTAGTTATATCGTAAAACGCCCATAATGATGCTCTAAACAAGGTGGAGTAACAACTTCTTTAGAGAAAATTCCAATAACTTTTTGGGTGTAAATTATTGTTTTACACATGTACAAAAAATCCACTATTAGTTTTAGTAAAAACATGCACTCGTTTTCCATATTAATTTAAATATATGTAACTGGCACATATAGGGCCAATGTTTCCTTTACAAATAATATTGAGAATATTCCGTATTACATTCTAAAACATAAAACCACTTACAAAAAGGTAACATGTTTTCTAATCTCATATAGAAATTATAATGTTAAGGGTTTTCATTTACAGTGGGCTAAATATTAAGGAATAATAATAAAAAAGACATTTATGGAATGGTTTGAATGGTATATTTTTGTTTTCATGAGTTTTGGAGATGTTACATGGATTCCATTTTCCATAGGTCACCTATAGCTTTCATCAAGAGTCACAGCAGTGTTCAAAATGGCATAAATGATTTAAAAGTGCACTATGAAGGGAGTGCAAATGTCAATATGAAGATTGCTCAAACTGAACCATAAAAAATACATTGAAAGCAAATTACACCTAAGAGAGATTACTGTAATTTTTTTTTTATTTTATTATTCATTTCGAGCTTAAATGTTGGAACATTCTAAATGAATAGTGCACAGCCAGGAACTATGCTTTTAACTACAGCTCTAGAGGTGTAGTTGCAAATTTTGAAACAATAGGTTTGGGAAAGACAAAATCAACAAACTATTTTAATAATGATGGAAATTGTGACCTCAGTTGCGAATAATTGTTAAAAATTATATATATATATATATATATATATATATATATATATATATATATATATATATATATATATATATATATATATATATTTTTTTTTTTTTATTCAAACACCTTGAAATGTTCCTGAACCCAGGGCAGATGCTATCCGCTGTCTGAAAACTTTGTCCTAAGCATGGCAACCATAGTTGTTGATCACTTTTTTTATGAGACTAGTTCTCGCTGTCTCGCAACATTACTATACTTTGAAATAACTGAATACAGACAGCTTCATACACTTGTTTATCAGACGAGCCACATGCATATGATAAACATAAACAAAAATGAAAGCACATGGTCCTGCCAGAAAAGACATTTCAACAAGCAAATCTCTAAAGAATCTGACTGTAATTCTTACTACATGGCATTGAAATTCATAAATATTTAATCGTCACTGCTATAAATATTCGCCAGTGAAATTTATTCAACATAATTCAATGTGCAGCTGGAAGCAACACATTAACTAGCACAACACATTACATCATCACAGTCTCCATACGCCCTTTCTATCTCCCACGGGAATTCCCTCAGCTGTTCTTTGTTGTAGTATACATACATCCATGTGCTCAAATTGATATGGTGATTAAAACTGTAGAAATGTTCTGGACAAACTTAATAACATCTCCAGAGTTCCATAATTTATCCTAGGGAATTTTAATCATTGTTTTATGCATAAATATTAAAATGGATTTTATCAATATATTATATGTGCCTAACCCTAACTCTAGATTTTTACATCTTCGACTGATGATGAGATTGGAGATTGGAGAATGACACAGAGCTTAAATTGATGAGGACCTAGCTCAATGGTTGCCAATGTATTTATTGACACAAGTGCAGATTAGGTGACCTATCAGCTTGCCCGTGCATAAAGTTTAATTGACAGAAATTGCTTTTAAAGCTACACAGATTTTACACTTTTATTAATACCAGAATTAATTCTTTATCAAAAATGTAGAGTCATGGTTTAAACAAGGTGCATTTTCATTTTTTAAAAATAAAATCTAAAATATAGTTGCTGTTTTTTTTACTTCAGTTTTTTTTAATAATCTAAAAGATATTTTAAAAAACAGCAGTGGAAAAATACTCTTTTTTTGTTTTACAAAAATGAATCTTTTTGAAGAACATCATGGGATTTATAATGATCACAAAGAGTTAGGAATCCAGTTTAGCAGAGTGGCACTGTCCCACTTATTGGATGGCTACTTGCCACAAAACTAAACAATCAAATGACAAATATTAATCAGAGCTGTAATAATTGACTAATAATTGATAATCTCTTTAATTATATTTAAGGCTTCCAGAAAGAAAAACGGTAACGCTTTATTGTAAGGGTACATGAATTAGTATGAATTCATGCTTAAACTCATGCATTATATCTCAAGAATTTGCTAAGCATGTGTTCATGAACTGTGTGTATGTTAATACACAAAATCAATATTCAATATAAATGTGTTTACGGTAGTGAAATCAATGCTAATTGACTCTCACATGCTTAGTCACAGATGGCGACATGCCATATTTCTGGTAATGTGTATTTAAAGCCTTTCAATATATAAAACACTATCAAATTATGGTTTGGATCTGGATATATTATTTTTAGCTATTAGCAACTTTCAACAAAATTCAGCTCTGTTCTTCACGCCTACACAAGTACCAGAATTCTTGTGTCCAGGCAATTACCAAGACATGGTTTGACAGCAACATCATTCCTCCATCGAGGTGGAACATACTGCTTTTGCATTGCTTAGGACTGACAGGGATCCTGCCATCTCTGGGAAGGAATGCAATCAGTTTGCAATCTGTTTTGAAAGGATTGGCGCACAGTCAAGGTCAGAGAAAATTTGTGTACTACGGACATCGATTTGTTGTGTGTCTTCCATTGATCATAATATTTACTTTTTGTTTACTAACCCTATATTTACTAACCCTTACCCTAATGCTCTTAAGTCTATTTTGCAAAATGTGCATATATATCATCTAAAAACATATACATATATAGAACATAAAAAAAATCTAGTGACAAAAGCTCCTAAACCTTCAGTGTTAAATATATTCCGACTTGAGATGAAGTGCTTTGAACATTTAGTGAAAAGATATATTGTATCTTAAACACAGCATCTTATAGATGCTCTGCAATATGCATGTCCATCCTCCAGAGGGGTTGAGGATGCAATAAATTTTGCAAATATTGCATTCACATTTACAGAAACCCAAAGCTCATACAAAAATGTACCTCTTTCGAAACTTTACATTTATTTATTCAATTTTACGAAATTTATCTTCAGCTTTTAAGGAGGAAGAAAACGGGGCCTGTTCTACATTTCTTTTTCAGATTGGTGTGAAAATTCAAATCTTCTCAAACACATTTCTAAACTTTAGGAGATGTTCATTAATATTAGAGAGAGAAAGTACAACTAATCCTACATTATTGAAAGGGAGCAAATTCAGTCAGTTAAAAAATAGTAAATACCATCAATGTGATGCTGAACAAGTAACATAGATGGCATAGGTGGCCACATTAAATGTGTGTGTAAGCAAAAATCTTTTTAACAGAATGTACTTAAAGAAATTGTTTTTTAATGTTGAAAGCAAAATGTTTGTTGTTTTATAGGGTTTTCATTGAATGAATTATGATATTTAGTGTGATTTGTTGGTATTAAAAAAAAGAAAGAAAGTAAGTAAGTCAACCTGTCAGTCAATCGTGACATGGCCATCCATTTAACCCCTCCTAGTTCACACACACAACAGTAAACACACATCCGCTGCAGTGTGCAGCCAATTTCAATCACAAGTCCCACTGTCTAATGGTCATGAATGGAGATGCATATATCTTCAAATTGTTACTATCATGTCAACAATACTGTTTTTCCAGAGCATGTTAAAATTATCTTTGCTCTCACAATCAATTAGGATTTTTAATTTCTCTTCATAGAAAGGCATAATGTTTTTATACATATTTCTTATATACATGTCTAATGTGAATCGTCAAATGTCTATGCAAGTGTAAACTGCAAATTTAATCTCTCTATGGAAATATATATATATACTTGACTTCATAAGTTATTGTGATAGCAGTTGTCTGTCATGTTTTAGAAACTGGGCTTATGCTCTTTAGGTATAAAGCAGAATGTCAAATGTAAAGTTTTGTTTACACATTGTGTTTTCACATTAAAGTTCAGTTTTTTGACATTTAAAAATTATGGCATCGCCATGTTTATTGGTATTTTAAAATAAAAATCACTACTTGAAGATTATGAAGTCATAATAAGCTAATTTTTAGTAATGACGACTAGTGTATTTAGATGACTACAGATGTCACATGCTATGTGCTGTGATTGGCCAGTGTTCGGCTCTGTATTTGCATGCAGACTACTATGGAGAAGATATAAACCTGCTTGATAACTCTGATCATATTAATGAAAAACATTAGTTTTACGTTAATGAACATACTATCTTTACCTGTATGCATGCATGTTGTATTTAGCATATTCCTTTAATAAATCAAATACATAATAGTAAACTATTAGTAAAATATCTAAAATATGCTACTATTATTAGTAAAGCCTTTTTCAGGGGAGCCTAAAAAAATTAGCAAATGATTTGAGTAGCTTACTTGACTTCTTTTAAATGGTTTCTGAAGCCAAAAATAGTAACAGAAAGAACTAATGCTAGTTGAATTAAACATTTACATACAGTCCTATAAAAAATATTTGAACAGCTGATCGGTTTAAACAGTTGGGGTAGTTCTTTGTGATAACAGTAACTTTAAATAAATAAATAATAATAAACTGACTCACCCTAAAAAACTCTTTGGTTGATCCTGAGTCCAGGGTTCCATATGCAATCTCTGTTTGTTTAGCTAGATCTTCAGCACTCTCTATGGGAGAGACCATCCTCTCTACTGTGAGGAAAGCAGCTAGGTTAGCTGTGTAGGACGAGATTATGATGAGGGTGAAGAACCACCAGACACCTCCCACTATTCTGCCCGATAAGGACCTGTGCAAACACAAATAACACAAATTCAGAATTTGAATTAATTAATATGTTTAACACAACTGTAAACAACACATCAAAGGCAAAAAAGAAATATAAACTACTCATCACAGATGTGTTATCAAAAATAACATTATTTTGTTATGCATTGAAAGATTATGTGCATTTTAGTTCAGCTGCATTTATATTGAATAAACTCTGATGCGAACAATTCTCTGAATGATGGGGTGACCTGTCCCTCAACCCCCACAAACTGACAGGTTTGAACTAAATGACTCTTTTACAATAGGTGTGACCTTTTCACAATCTCAATGGGTGTAAGCAAAACAACAGCTGACACATCTGATAAAAGGGTCCTGCTTAGCTTAGTAAACAGAATGGTTTGTTTGTTTCTAGTATTAGGTTACGTAAAGACCGATCTAAAATCACTGCTGAGGAACTGCACTATTCATTAATAAGTCTTCAATAAAGTTTTCTCCCCATAAGAACTTTGGTCAGCTTGCCTATTTTATGTATTAGAACATCTTATACATTGGCAAGCCACCCAAGGACGGTTAAGCCAAATACAGCAAAATCGAACAATTTGGCGAGCCAGCCAGGAGAGAATGAAAAGAGGAAAACTCACTGACTGCAACAAGAAGTGAACTGAGGAGTCTCTGAGAATTTACAGTTTAAGCTGAAGATAAACAGATTTTTTTGTGTGTGTGTGAAAGAGTCCTGGATCTACGTATTACATCTATGGACATGGTTTATTTTTATTAACTGGATCTCATCTCAAAGATCCTAGTTAGGTGATTGAAACTGATCAGCTCTCTTAAAGAACCCTTCAAAGAACATGTTTTATATGTACACTTTAAAGTATGCAGATCAACTGGTATATGTAGTGCAGTAATAAACAAAATACAGTGATAGTATTGCTGAAATGTCAGGCCTTCTCCTTGATATTTGCAGAGATTGTTAAAAAAAAGTTTAGGCTTTTTATCAAAAGATTTTGAAAGAGCAGTGGAAATTTCAGGCTTAGTCCTTTCTCAGCGTACTTGTAGAAATAAATTAAGAAACAGTTTGTTCCTACTTTCCAGAGATTGTAGGAATTATGGCTTAAGTCATTTGTAGGAATTGTTGAAAATAATTTGGTCCACTTTCCAAAATGACTGTAGTAGCCATAAAAATAGTATTGACTGAGTGCTAATTCAGTAGTCACTATCTTAACTTTGAATGTAGCATAGCCTTTAATTTTGAATGTAGCCTAGCCTTTTGATCTAAGACAGAATTGTGAAGGACATTTTTGGCTTGGACCCTTTTTGGGAATTTGTAGGAACTGTTAAGAGCCATTTGGTCCAATCTCTAAGATAATGCAGAAGAGAGATTGGTCCATTCTCAGCTGTGATTGTAGAGATTAAAAAATAACAGTTTATAATATTCGTCCAAATTAATTAGTAATTCTTGACTGGGTGCTAATTCAGTAGCCATTATTTTAAGTTTGAAAATTAATCCTCTAACTGTATTAAAATATAATGGCATGAAGCCATGTAAGCTGTTTGTCTTCTGTTTACTACAACCATGTTAAGCTGCTTTGACACAATCTATATTGTAAAAAGGGCTATATAAATAAACATGAATTGAATTGAAGTTTAAAGATACAGAAAGCTTTAGATACATTGTCTGGGGGACAAAGCCAAAAGAAAGTTACTTGGCCTTCTCGGATAATGCTCAGAAAGAATTGTTATCAGTCAGAAGCTTTTAGACAATTTTAGGCTTGATTGTTTCTCTGGAATTTCATCACCTTAGAATTATAAGGTTCTATCTGACATTTTTGTCAAAATTAAGTTATTGACATATTCTTATTAAATGACAACTTATTTACAGTATGTGATGTGTTTTTAAAAGTTGTTTACATTTTAAGAATTTTTATTTAAAAAACAAAAAAGGTTTATCTACAAAGGTTTTTCTTTGTCGTGGAAACACCAGGAGGACAAAAATCACACAAAATCAGAGTCGGCTAAATAATTTCACACCCAATTCACCTGTACCGCATGTCTTTGGACTTGTGGGGGAAACCGGAGCACCCGGAGGAAACCCACAGCAAAAAAGAAAGTACAAGCAAACTCCACACAGAAATGCCAACTGACCCAGCTGAGGCTCAAACCAGCATTCCTTACTGTAAGGCGATCGTGCAACCCACTGTGGCACCGCGTTGCAGACATTGAGATGAAATGTTACATTTTATATTGTTGAAAACAAGATGAATATTAAAAAACTTATATATTAAATGTGAAATATATTTAGTTGTTTACATATAGTCAGTAAAAAAACTTTTCAGTGTTTATTAAACTCATTTGGTCATCGTCTGTTTCTTTTAAAGTCTTTAAATTTAATGTTAAGCCTTGAAGGGCAAATACTTAGTTTAATTCATAGGGCATATAAATAAATTTAATAAACACGGTTTAATCAGTCAATCATTCATATAAAGCATAAAATGTCATAAATATTAACATATTAATTAGATAAAATTAACATCTGCACTGTAAAAAAAAAATGTTTAGCCCAGCCTTGTAAGCTCAATTTGAACAAGAAAAAAATTTTCATCCTAAAACATGAAATAAATGTTATAGAAACCAAAATTTTATTTTCTCAAGCATCAACATATTGTTACAACACCAACTTATATGTTTTTTGATTGTATTTCTTCAAAAATAATGCTTCAATGAATGATCTGCTAGATAGAACCTTAAAATTACAAGCAGAAAATGACTTTTCAGAATGGGAAGGTTATATCTGCATTTACCGTGTTTTATTTACTCCAATTTGCAAGTGTAAGAGAACTTTGACCATTTGCATTTAGAGAACCCTTAGGCTCTCTGTCATGTTAATGTATGAAAGAGAACTGTTACACACATGTTGTTTGCTATATGGAATGCAAAATCTTTGAAGCTCAATATCTCAAAATCATTCAGAACGCAGATAGAATCTTATAATTCTAAGGTGACGATATGTAGAAACCGTTAAAGAATCATTCTGACCCAATCACTAAGATAATGTAGGAGCAGAGCTTGGTACATTCTCTGTTGGGGTTGTACAGATTGTAAAAATAACAGTTTAGTACATTTGTTTAAGTATTTTTGGGAGCAAAATAAGATTTGGGACTGAAAAAATAAAGTTCTAATTTAGTAGCCACTATTTTAGCTTTGAAACAACAGTTGGATTTGTCTGTGTATTTGAAATGGTCATCAATATAACAGACTGCTGTGAAATTAAATTTGAATAGGAACCTTTGATAGCTTTAAGACCTTTTGTTCTGTTTTCACACCTCTGAGGGCACTGTCCTGTACTTCCCATGGCTAAGGCCCCATTTACACTAATACATTTTAGTTTGAAAACGCACAAGTTTTGCTATGGTTACGTGCCCACACTACGCCGCAGTTTTCGAGTGCCGAAAACCAACCGTTTTGGAAACGCTGGAGAGTCCGTTTTCATCCTAAAACGCTGCAGCTCCGTCTCAGAGTGGATGGGACAAAACGGAGACATCTGAAAACGGAGGAGGAGCTGCTGACATTCGCCTCTCTGATTGGGGCTTTTTCTCAATATTAAGAAGCCTACACACAGTTAAAGTTCTGCATCCTCTCCTTGTAAGTTCATACTTCGCAAGTTTGATATGGAAAACTCCCGAGAACATGTCAGGTAAATATTCAAAAGGAACGGTGTACTTTATAACCTCATTCACATCACCCTGGCTACGGTATTTCACTTTCTTAATAATAAAATGAAGTCATGATATAAGGAACTGCAATTTTCATTTTGTTATTAACAACTTAACAGACAGCAAAAATGTTGAGGCGTTATGCTGCATATATGAGCATCATCTTCACTGTATGTATATTCATAACAAAACGAAGCCTATAACATCATTGCCTCCTTTCATTTTCATTGAAATTACGAAACATACCCTCTCTTTTGCTGAATATCAGTTTTAATAATCAATAATGGCCATTATAAAAGTATAAAGTACAAAGTTTATACATTATAGGACATAAAGGCAAGCAATTTCTCAGTATACAGAGTGTATGATTGGTAATAATTAATGGTTAGATTAATTATTAACTTACCTTTGCGCTCAGCCAAAACATGTAACCCGAGAACAAGTACTAGATTCACAAGACCAAAGTCGGGGAATATGTGGTTAGATATAGACAACAAGATGAATTAAATATCGCGTTTAGCAATAGAGAGATTAAATCCAGCTAGAGATCCTTGATGAACACGCTCATCTGGGTAGATAGGCTGCAGCCCAAGCCAGAGAGTGTGTGTGTGGTCACGTGATGTGCGTTTTCAGTGTTTTGGTGTAGACGGAGAGCTGTTCAGAAACGCTGGGTGAAACGCTATTGTGGTTGCGGAACGTTTTCATTCTAAAACGCCGTTTAAAACGCACTTGTGTAAACGGGGCCTGAGTCTGCAAGAAAATGTGCTAATGGAGCTGCCCTGAAACCAACATCAGAAAAACACGGAACAGAACCTCCATGTGTTACCATTGACCAGATGTTGGAAAATTCTAATTAATATTTGGACAAAAGGCTATGACTGAGAAAGTGTCGTGATGACGAGTGCAAAAAGTACAGCATCAAGCACTCAGAGAGGAGATTGTGAGCATTGCTAAATAATTACAAAATTTAAAGAAGGACAAAGAAAGACTGGTAAATTAAAATGACAAGTTATTGACTTTGATCTCAAAACAGCTGGAATCAAGATTTTCAAGCAGCTTTGTTCAAGCAGCTTTGTTGACAAACTTGCACTGTGACGAAAGTGGTAAAGAAATATGTTCCATACAGGATGTACAATCCAGCTACCAGAGCAAGTCGACAAATAGTCAGAATAGTCGCCAGATGTGTACAAACAACCACGGAAGGTTTGGACTGCAGAAAATCTACAATTTACATCCACTAGATAGTGTGATGATTTTTAATGTCACCCTAAGAGACAGTGACCAAAGGAGACTCAACGAAGGTGTT